CAAGTGTTTCGACAGCTTCATCTTCTCTACGCTCTGGCTCTTACTTCCACGAGCGATGCTCTGTCTTCGGTGCGTGGAGGTCGAAGCTACTGTTGTCTCGAAGAGCTCCTGTTCCACGTATTACAGGCTGGATGCTGTGCAGTGCTGCAGTACCTCGACGTAAACCGACCATGTCCTCGGGAGCACCACGAGCAGAGGCACGCTGTCTCAAGGCAATGAGTGCATTCTGCAACATGGCCCCACGTCGTCAAAATTAAGCTAAGCCTCTCAGCCGGAGAAAGGTTGGGGGCACCAGCAAGATCCACTCGTGATGGCTTCCCTGAAACAGCTCGCAAAAGCCAACATGCCTTACATGGGCTAAGAGCACCCAGCTGTGCCGGACTCGAGACTCGAGCCTCGCCTCTACCTGCTCCACTCCGGAGCCGTTGCACGAGGGCCTGCTCAGACTCTGCTCCCAAGAACCCTGAGCCGTAGAAGACCCGGGGGCCTCCTGCCATCCGTCTTCAGGAGGGCCCAGCTGCAGAGTCGGGAGCTGCATGGAAGCTCCATTAGCTTCGCTCGGGCCGCATCCCGAAATGCGCCGCTCTGCCGATCACGGTGCTGCGGTTGCTGTTGTCTGGGGCACTCTAAGCCTCTAAGCGTGATCTGAGCGTGAAGACTTCGTGGTTCGGCCTGGGACTTGTATATCTGGCTTGAATCTGCATACACAACGTGTTCATGCTCCCTGGTTTCTTCTGACAAATAGCGCCGGTAAATCGCATGTCGGAATAGCAATAGGATGCCATATAGGTGTCTTTGTCAAGCTCCCATGTGGAAATCATACAGAATCCACAGACGGATGACCTGGCATCATCTGTTCAACAGCGATTTAAGCCCAATGATGCCCAATGGTCGACATCATTCCCTGTCAACACGCTCTCACACTTGGAGGACGGACGGACGGACGGACACACACACACACACACATTGATAAGCCAAAAGGGCCAAGCCCGTGCGGAGCCAGGTTTATTTGCAAAAGGTATATCCCAGGTGGCTTATGCTCCGGAAGCTCCTGCATCCATGCGACTTTTGCCGACACAACTGGAAAAGTTCAAGCCACATGTTGCCTGTAGCAAACTCTGTGTTCGTGTGTGCACGTACTCCTCGAAATGCGCAGTCCGAGATTTTGACAGAAAAGAATGCTTTTGCTCACTGGGTAGCGGAGTGGCGGTCAGGGCTGGCAATTACCAGTCTGACCTTCAAACTTTGCTTTTGGAGGGGTCCTCTGCTTCGTGGCACCCGCACAGATGGATCCCGAGCCAGGGAGTCCCAAGTAGTGTTCTGACTGTACACGTCTACACTCCCCAGACTTCCCAGAAGCCAAGTCTGAGGGTGAGCTTGTGAGGATGCTGCAGAGCGCCGCGCAGTAGGTTTCCCGGAGTTCCACGACACAAACCAGCTTCCATGGACTTCAAAGATTGTCCTGCACCTTTATGGCACGGTCTGTCGCCCACTTGCGCCACGGAGCGGGCTTTGTCCGCTCGAAAAGTGAAACGGAGCTGGGATGCCCGCAGCTCAGCGAACTACATATATTCACACTGCCAACAAGGGCAGATGCTTGCCTGCGCAGGCAGAGCAAGCAGCTCACTCTCAGTGGGCTTATGATGCCGCCTGCTCTCCTCGCACTTAGATGCGGACCTCAGCTTCCGTTTTCTGCCCCACTATCACACAATGTAACCTAAACCAACATAAAGAAACATCACAACATCGCATGGTATGGCATGACATGTATTTCGCAAAACATAAATTCTCAACACCAAAGAACATGAGATGAAATACTATAACATTTATGCATCTGGTTTGTAGCGACTCAACCAGGACAGAAACAAGAGGCACAGCCGAAGTCCGCAGCTTCAAGCTAGAAGCCTTCGGATTCGCGCCAAAAAAATACGATAACATTAAATGTTACAACCGATGTAACTAAGATAGCGCGAGATAAGATAATTTATTGTGATATGACAGATTCTATCAGAAAATGTAGGTTTTATAAAAACAATAAATTTGAACTCAATAGAACCAAACAGAACCGAACAGAATGGAATGGACTGGAATATAATACCAAATATGGTGGTATAATTTAGGATAAGGAAGTATAGCATGGTATCGTACAGCAGTGTTAGCACAGTGCAATGTATTATAATGTATTATAACCTAACCAAGCATAACATCATAAAATACACAAGTGCTATATCACAACACCATCTACATAACACAATATAATCTGATATGATAGACCAAGCGGACCAAGCGGGAGCAAACAGCCGAGGGCTGAAGCTCTGAAACGAAGCAGCTTTGCAGCCGAGGACTCTGAGAGAGGTGCCCTGAACCCAACGAGCGGTTCGGGGCACTCCGACTAGGAATCATCGCCCTAGTCCCGGCTCTTTGCCTGAATTACTGCTGAGCCTAGGTTTGATGCCGCCTTGCTGTCCAAGTCTCCCAGCTAACTCCGGTCGACTCGTCTTCACCTTCACCTTGAGGGGATCGTGATGGTTCGCAGGGGTCCATGCCATGCTGTCTCCAGCGGGTTACCACTCTCGAGCCCAAGTCATCGTACATTTCGCCGGGCGTCAGTCAAACAAAACTAAACCCAGCAACATCCAAATAACTCAAATACTAGCATAGCCCCAAACCCCCACATTGAATATACTGTACCCCCCCAAAACATGGCGATGGATTAAGCTATGGCAGGCCTCGCGGGCCTACCTACCAGTACGGCACACCAATAATCATCACAAACATGTTGTGCTCACAGCAGACTCTGGTGACATGGAGGAGCTGAGATTGCTTGCATGGAAAGAAGCTTGGGGAAACAGCAACAGAAACACTAGCCGCTAGCCCTGCTTCATACGGGACATTTCTGCCCGAGCGTGTACTGCTCATAACTTATCAATCCACTCGATGCATTGTTATGGTCACATTCCGCCTTGTGCTTAGCATGTACTCGTGACGTATTTATTTGCTTGGTGATTCGTCCCTCAAATAACTGCCCGTCATCATCATCACCGTCATCATGACCTACATAACACACCCTGACCTCGAACAAGTGCCCCAAGAATAAACCACAAAACTACTGACTTGTGCATGTGCATGTAATGCATGCGGAACCAACTAGTTCGTACGTACGCATATGTTGACCGAGGCTTGCATATGTTTGCATGCGTGTTTGCCGCCTCTTTGTACAAGCACAGTGATTCACAGCGGGCCTGGAGGATCCGCAGGCCAGCCTTCAGAACCTCCGGAATCAACAGACAGGAAAAAGCCCTAAACAAGGCCGAATGACAAATTGGTAAGATTGGATTAAAATAAAAAAAAAGTACCTGCCACTAGCAACTGTTGGACTTCCGGCGCCAGCTTTGTTCAGGATTGGCCAAGGATCGAGAAGTTCGACACATACTCTCGGTCAAGCCAGGCCCATCATCCGAAGGTACGCCAACAACTCAGCCATAGTCCCTCGTATACCATACCCGCAATGCAAAAAAAACAGGTGCAAGGCCAAGCAGGAACCCTCGAAAAGACTCTGGGAAGCAGTTGTCTAGAACATGGCATCCCATAGCTCGGCGAGGAACACTGAGGCAGCAGGAAAACACATCCGAGAGGACTGCATCACATGACGCGGAAGAAGCCTGAAGCTGCGGAGAACTGCTTCCCTAAAGATCCGCAACAGCCAAACCGCCCCCGAACCCGACAACCTTCCAGGGACTCATCCGTCTGGCTTGGCATGCTGGCAGCCTCCGACAGCGAGATGGGATCCTCGGCTACGACTGTATCTTCACAGACTACACGTATAATTTGAACACACTTGCCTGACATGCAAAAGGATGAAACAAATAGATAATAAATGAATACATGCATACAGTGTATTTAGAGCACGTTACAGAATCATTTTCTATCTGAGATAACGCTACGTGCACACACACACACACACTCACACACTCACACCTTGCACGTTCGTGTGCGATTCGGCGATAGATATCTCCATGCGAAGTCATGTGATGTCGTAGCTGACCATACAATACAAACAAGCATGACACGCCACAACATGGTACAACCCAATGCCCAAAACGAAGTTTACTTCTGCAGAGTGAAAGCATGTCATAGCGCATGATATCCATAGCAGACTAGACAGGCGGCATCAAGTCTGCAGTTTTCCGTTTCGATGTCAGTGTACATGCTCCATGCAGCTACAACGTCACTAGCAGCAACAACAGCGCGGCAGAAAATCTGCTTCTAGCTACGGTTTTATCTTCGGTGTTGCTATTGGCTTGGGGGTGAAGCCTTCGTCTCGCGCACCGGGGCACTTCGAATCTTGGGCATCCTAGGGCCTAGGGATCTCTGAGGTTCAGGACAGCAGAGAGCAAAAGCCAACTGCTTGCAACAAGCATCTGACCGGTTGGTCTGGTTGGGGCTGTTGCCGCTGAGGACGATCGATCGCTCAGCCTCCACCATCACAGCAGCAAGGAGTTGTGTTGCGATCTCTCTCTCCAAGTCTAGCCGCTAGCGGGTATGACATAAACAGCCGTGGCTGTGGTGTTAAGCTGTGAAGTCGATTTCTGAGCTTTGCTTCCCAACTTTAACTTTAACAGCTTCAGAAAAAGCCTTGTTGCAATTCTCAAACCCCGAAACTTCTGGAAACAAGCTCAAATGTCGCTGACCGCCCCTGCCTGCAAGAGACCTCGGCTGGTTCTGTGGCGAGTGTTTAGGGAGAGACCCGGCACTGGAAGGCACTGCACGAGGAATGGAAACAGGCATCATTGTCAGAGCCAGACTCGAAACTGTTGACTAGCTGTGCCTCACCGGCCGTAGTGTCAGACAATGAAAACCCGAACTGTCCGAAAGACTCGTGCCTGCGAGCTGAATGCAGCCGTGGTGCTCACGCCTTAGTGAGCATTTGCCTAAATTTGCCTCTTGGCCTATTGTCCGGCTTCCATACACGCCAGACGCGGTGTTGGCTTTACGATGGCTCACAGAAACAAACCCGGGAAAGCTCGATTGACCAAACACGACGACATGCGCCGGGATGACAGTGCCGAGGCACGCTTTCTAACGACCTTCTGCTGCAGCTTCAAGTTCTTGAAGGAAGGTGTTGAAGCCGAGCCCGCCTCCCAAGGCTTCTACACGGATGGAACCCCAGGTTCGAACCGTCAGATGATGGCTCCTGCAGATGCGGCCTCCAATATCCGCATTTCAAGCCTCCCGATGATGGAGCTGTGCTTCGACAGAAGGTCCACCACGCTCCTTTGGGTTCCAGGAATCCAGAAACGAAGCATCTAATTCAAAAGACGTTCCGCGGTGACGGGCTCAGAGGCCAAGCCGCTGGAGCAGAACGGAAATGAATCCAAGGCCCAAGAAGCTGTAAGCAAGGTTGAACCATCCTCGGCATACTTCTGAGCTGACTATTGACCGATCTGGCTGCGGTTCAGCTTGAGCTGAGGCACGAATCAAGGCAAGTCATTCACCCTTCTCAGCATGCCCAAAGCCAAGCAGATGCAACCATTTCGACCGTGCCGAAGCTTGTCACGAGCTGGATGGCAGCCAGACTTGAGATGGCTGTCTGCTACAGATTCCCCCTCGTGTGTGCAAGCACCCGGCCCTGATTTGGTCTTGAGCAAAGACTTGCTGTGCCAAGATGCGGCCCAGCACTGTCTGGGGCACGAGGTCACCCAAGCCGATTGTCATGAGCGTCTCCCAGCAAAACCACATGGACTCCTCGGCTCTGTGAACCCCACTCTGCTTTCAGCTCAGCTCCAGCTCCAGCTTCTCTCGTTTCTCGTCTCTCGTGCTGCGGTGGCTCGATGAAGCTCCACCTCTCGATCTGCTGGAAACACCTTCGCATTCGCAGCACAAGTGGAGGTTCGTCTCAAGCTGATGGCGCTGATGCGCGAACTGACGCAATCACAAACCATCCGAATGTAAATGCTCTGCCTTCATGTAGGGCATACAGGCATGACAGACGAGGTGTCAAGAGCTGAGCCATGACCAACTTTGGAAGCTCTACCACAGCACCGTTGGAAGTTTTGTGGTTTGTCAGTCAACCCCCCTCCATCCTGAAATTTCCTTCGTGAAAAACGCTGCAAGGCTACTCGGCTTCACCATCAAGCACCTACGAGAAGCAATGGAACTCTCTTGGAGTGCGCTTCGCAAAGGTTGGGTGCCGAAGGCACAAAGCACCAGCGAGCAACCAAGTCAAAGTCGCACTGAAGCTGATCATCGCCTGTCGAATCTTCTCTTGGTTGCGTGCCCTATCTTTCCGATACGGCCTGCGAAAAACAAAAGCCAAGGCCAAGAGCTAAGGGCGGTTCACTCAGGCGGTGCTTCTCTTGTCGTGCCGTAGGAAACTCCAGCAATATCCTCGGGACTGCTCTTCCGATGAAGCCAACGCTGCCCAGTTTCTGCACAGAGAAGCACCACTCATGAACAAGCTACCTGCAATCCTTCACCCGAAAGGACATGGATGAATGTCGCCTGAGACTTTGCCATACTTGGGGCCCGAAACCAGCACCCGCTTGCAGGCAAGACTCAGAGCTTGGCCGAACTCTTGGATGGTTACAAGCGTTGTGTCACCTAACGAAGGACTGTTCTGAGCAGCTGCTGCTGGTTCAGGTATCGACTTGGCTGAGACTGCTCGCACAAGTCCGGACGAACCTATGCACACAAAGTGGCAAATGTTGACCTCTTCCATAATCATCCTCACATCGTTGTCTGCGACCTTGCAGGGCACTTCACATAGCATGCATGTGAGCTGCACATGGCTCCTGCCAAGTTGTTTCAAGCCGCTGAAACTCCGAAATCCAAGTGGCGGGGTATCCTAGATCCCGCAGAGCTGCAGCAAACTCGTCGGAATCCAGCTGTCCAGAGCCATCCGTGTCGTATTTGTGAAAAGTCAGAATGTTCCTGTCAGCCATTTTGCTCGGACCATTGTGAAACGACACTGCTGCACTTGTGGGGATTCTAACAGCCACACGCTGGGAGCTGAAGCATGCCCTGAATCACCCACTCCAGTGCAAACCAAGAATCGTCTTGTTGAAAAGCATCGCAACTACTCGTGTGAAATCTATCCTCGGCGTAGCGACAGCAGTAGCTCTTGCAGCATCTGGTACCTGGTAACTACCGGAAAAGATAGACATGTCTGCTGTCTGCCAGGGTTCATTTTCCTCGCTGCCCCTAGATAAGCCACCACCAGAGCCGGCGTCGCAATCAACCTTGCATGCACGCGACCGGTTCGGCGCATTGGACATACCCTACCCGGGCAGTCATGTCAAGATGAGAAGCGTGAAGACAATGCAAAACACTCTTCCAGCATCCGTCGCCGGATAAATGTTGCCGTAGCCGATGGATGCCACCAATGTGAAACTGAACCTTGCCGCGGTGCTTCACGGATTTTCTAACCTAAAACATCCTAAAACATTCGAAAAGCCGTTCAGTGAGAGGGCCATGTGAAAGCAGCAGTAAATTCTCCGGCAAGGCACATCAGACTTTTGCTGTGCCCAATGCCCTCAGACAGTCAAGTTTATATCACACAAGTCTTGCGCACAAAGCCACGTGGACCGGGACTCGTGACAGATCACAGCCTCCTGCTTTTATTCGCTGTGGGACAGCTCCGGTTCACGAAGCTAACAGCCCCTACACCGAAACGGTCGAACCTCAGTCCAAGATGCGAGATCCCACGAGGCATCATTCCTCGGCGCCCGGGTGGAGATCAGAAGAACTGACATGAGAGCATGCAAAGGCTTCTTTGGAACTTCCCCAAGCATTGGCCCAAAGAACCCCAGATATGCAGAGATCTGCGAGGTGGATTCATGAGGCGGACTTTGCGACGACAGACTGCTTAAGATGTTTGCCAAGCGCATTCCAGTTCCCGAGTTGATTCTTCAGCCGGAATGCGGTCCAACCTCCTTGAAGCCCTTGGCCACTAGCTGAGCATACGTCGCCTGGGCCGTCTCTGGGGGCCACAAGTTGTTGCCGAATCTGGGGTTGAGAGAACTTAGAGGCCAAGTTAAACCAACCAGGTGCGAGAAGGCTTTGATTGCAGATCTCGCAACTTAGTTCACATCTGCCGATCTGCCGTTTTGTCTCTTTCTGAGTCTGCGCATAGAGCTTTGAGCCAGCTCGAAAGTTGAACTACTTACACAGACTATCAATGACAGATATGCCAAAGGGCCGACCTATGCTTCCCCGCTACAATTCCGGCACTCGCTCTCGGACATGCCAGGTATATCGCGTGATGCACTCAGCACATTCTCGGTCAGACGTTCGTTCATAACGAGACCGACAAACTTTTACCTTCACACTCCTCGTAACAACCAGCGGCGCCAAACAATACTCTCGACTAATGCAGACACCAGGGCATGTGCCTCTCGCCGCATCACGGCCCTAGCCCTAGGGTTGAGAGGCTTAGAGCTTTACCGTCGTAACCAAAAAGTGCAAAGGCCCGCGCATCCTTGCAATGCTGCTTGCTTCTGCGTCTGAGTACTATTGCGAACTTTCTTGGTACTGCTCTGCTGTTCCCCAAATCCATACCTTGATGGCTCTTCTTACATATAGCCCTGCATCGCTTGGAACCAGCCCTGTACACTGGCTGTACACAGATGGGCAGCACCTTCGTGCTGCCTTTGTCTTGCGTGTGATGGATGTGGAGCACGGAGACTTTTTCCAAAATTTCCATTGCTGGCAGAGAAGCTGGCGAGAGCTCCTTGCGCAGCTTCTGATGAATTTCACGCCAGTCCGCCAGCTGCCGTTGCTCCTGATGTTAATGCTACTGCTACCCTACACCCCTACAACTACTGCTACTACTGCTGCCACGGCTACTACAGCTACCGCTACAACGACAGTTATTCCTACGGCTGCGACAGCAACCACTACTACTATCACTGATACTATTACGATTACGATTACAACCACGATTACGGCTGCTACTACTACTGCTCCTCCTCCTCCTCCTCCTACTACTACTACTACTACTACTACTACTGCTACTACTACCACTACCACCACCACCACCACTACCACTACCACTACCACTACCGCTACCACTGCCACTCCCACTACAACTGCCACTACCACTACCACGACCACCACCACGACCACCACCACCACCACCACCACCACGACCACCACCACCAGGACCAGGACCAGGACCAGGACCAGGACCAGGACCAGGACCAGGACCAGGACCACGACCACCACCACCACCACCACCACCACCACGACCAGGACCAGGACCAGGACCACGACCACCACCACCACCACCACCACCACCAACCACCACCACCACCACGACCACGACCACGACCACGACCACTACCACCACCACCACCACGACCACGACCACTACCACTACGATTATTATTACTACTACTACTA